AATGTTGCTTTTCCTCTGTAATACCAGAGCACTAGATTTGAAACTGTCTCATTGCTATCTGTTTATCAATAAAACTTTGAAAAAAAATAAAAAAAAATATATATAATACAGCCATGTCACTGTTCAAAAATACCAATACAAAGTATAGATACATCATTTGAAATGTTACTCATATGTTAATAGTGCTTCTCTTGGTGATAGAATCTGGGGAATATTTTACTTTCTTCTTTATATCATTTGCATTGTGTTTTCTAGAATTATTTACAGTTAGTGTGTGTTATTTTTATAAAAAATGTTATTTAACATATTCTGTTTATAAGCACATATACACAGAGTTCGCCTATATACACATAGAACATATACAAACAGATATACACACATGTACACAACAGAAGATTACAGAATAGTACTCTGAAATTTTAATAGTAGTTATCACAGAATAGTAAATTCTGATTTTTTTCCATTTATCTGTATTTTTCATATTTCCTACAACATGCTTATATTATTTATATATTAGAAAAATGTTTAATTTCAGGAACAGAATTGTAAATGTATAACAACATGGAAATATGGGCTGGAGATATAGCTCAGTGGTACAAGTACCTGTCTGCCAAGCACAATGTCCTGAGTTCAATTTCCAGTATCAAAAAAAAGTAGAAAATATGGAAATATGCTTCAACTAAAAAATTAAATGAAAAGCAAAAGAATACAAATGACTCATGCACTATGATTACAACTATATAAAAATATCTTTATATGACAAAGACTGAAAGTGAATATGGAAAATAACATCTTTATATGAAAGTTTTGGGGCTGGGAAGATAGCTCAGCAGTCTAAGTGCCTGGCTGGCAAATGCAAGGACCTGAGTTTGATCTCTAGTACTGCATGCTGTGCTGGCCCCAAACCAGGTGTGGTGGCACATGCCAGTAATCCCAGTACTGGGGAGGCTGAGACAGGAGGATCACCACAAGTCTGAATTGTGAGACCTTATAACCAAAAAATAAATAAATAAATAAA